TTGTTTCGTGCACTTGGTTTTGGCTATTTACATCAATAAAAGTTTAGAGTGAATGTATTTGAAACAAATAGCGATTTCAATCGAGTCATTTGCTTTAATAACTCACGATTAATACAATGAGTATCATATAACATACCAGATCAGGTATCCAAGTCAAATATAACATTATGTCCTGTTTATCTAGATTGCTCTCAGCATTGCGCACATCATAACCTTTTTTCCCTTCGAACCAGAGCCAGTGGAACAAACGGTGACGTGTTTAACTGTGTAATTTGTGTGAAAATCGTGTGATTTTCATGTAATTCATTGCTTGATTTGTTAGCTCGACTAAATGTCTATCATATTCAGACCAACTTGCTTTAACAGTCAGCTAGCTTTTATTTACATAAAAAATATAAAGGGCTAAATATATATTTTTCTTTCTTTTTGCTCAAAAGGACTGAAATATTGACAATGACATAATTCAATGCAAGATTTCCTTGAGGAGGTGAGACTTGTTATCATCAGTGAAATTTGACGGTCATTCACCAGCAGATGCAAGAAACCTTTTCTCTTTGCCCAAAAGAAGTTGTTGAGATTTAGCCAGGAAGAAATTAGAGAGAGATAACCTGGACTTTAAGGAAGAGGTAAGTCACTATATTGCAATTGCTTTGGTTTCATTCAAGGTAGTAATGATAATGCTAAAAATAACAAACAACATTATTATTATAGGTAATTCAAAATACATCTGTATTCAGCATTTGAACATTTAAATATTTACATTTACATATATATATATATATATATATATATATATATATATATATATATATATATATATATATATATATATATATATATATTATGTGTAAATATTAATATGTATGTTTTTTTTGTATATTGTAGATCTGCACAGAGTTTTCTCAGATCTGTAATGTAGATCTCCTGAGACAGTTAATCGAGTGACTTGATAAATATACAGCACCTCTCCTGAAACTCTACAGAAAAGAAGGGATTCAATGGGTCCAGAGATGGATACAACTTTAAACAAGATGGATGAGCAGGTACTCATTAAGATTTTTTTTTTCTTATACACCCGTCTGATGTTTTTAACATGTGCAACATATTTTGTCCTGTCAAGAATTTCATGCTCAGGTAATACAGTCTAATAAAACGTAATTGCAACAATTTAATTGTCCAGCCCTTTTGCATTAATTTTAATTGTGTCAAGTTGTGTTTTGATTGTGAGATGGAAGTAAGATAAATAACAGATGTTTCACTTGTTTTGAGTGACCATTTCAAATGAATACATTCAAAGAGGAAAATAGAAAATAATAGCTGTAGTTTTTAACTCAAAGTAATTGTCACATGAAACTAAACATTTTTCTAAATTTGCCAACACAACCATTATCAAATTCCATTGTATGGAAACCACAAAATTCTTTTTTAAAAATAAAGCCATGTGTTTTTTCAACAGCATGAATAAAATACTATGCTCATTTAAATGTACTAAGTACATTTTTACTTACAAAACAATAAGATTGTAAAACACCCTTTGTAAATGACTTTCCTTTAGGTCACTGATATTGTCACCGATCGAGAAAGAGCAGCTCTTGAGGGATTGCCAATTTTTCTTCGTAAAAATTCTGCTTGCTTTCTCAAGATATGTCTGGTAAGTTACCCATTTTCATACCCTATTCTACATTTATTAGTCTGCTTGGTAACACTTTTAATAGCTGCACGCTATAAATAATTTATTTAGTATTAGCGAATAGTTAATTTATTTTCTGTTAAGCATAACTCTACATGAAGTGCTCAATGATTGTATTTTTTTTAACTTTAATGATTCATTTGTATTACTAATTTAAGTATTGCATTATTTACAAACCAGTTATTTAAGAATAGTTGGTGTTTTTAAGATCATTCAGAATGCTTAAGTACACGATTAATAAACTATTCAAATTAACATTTAAATATCCTAATATTAAGGTATGTAATAATAGTTACTTTGTATGTTAGTATATGCTTTATGAGCTTAACTTCATCCAGTTGTGACCTAATCTAAAGTGAGGACTATTTATGCTTTATAAATCCCTTATGAATGACAATTAAAGGCTCAGTTATATTCTAAACAGGACAATAAACAACTTTCACAATTGAAACTGTATCAAATAAAAGTAAATCTTTGCAATTTTATGTAAAATAAAAGTTTAAAAAATTGCTAAATATTAAAAAGTTGTCAATATATTGTTCAATTATTATATATTATAGACTATTCAAAGTGTTACTGTTTGTATGTACGAAAGTATTACATGTTTTTATTTTCTTTGCATAATAGTAATAACATTAATAAGTAGTAATTAATATTACACATCAATTAATTTTCCCATTACTTAATCTCCTATAAGGACACGGACCCTGAAGACCACAGCACCAGAGATTAAAGGATTGGAATCTTCACTGTGGCGGAAGATGATAATGGCACTTCTGCATCCCTGCAATATGTGATGAACCTCGCTAAAATCTTGGAGGAGGCCATAGTACTTCAGGATATCACACATCTGCCTGCAGCCTTCGCTTACTTGTTCAGCCTCTTGTATAGACTGAATATGGAACACCCAAAAGAACTCAAATATACTTTTTAAGTGATTCAGCATGTTTTATGGAGGTTGGTGGCACATGATCTGCGAGAGTTCAGTTCATTCATTCATTCATTTTCTTTTCGGCTTAGTCCCTTTATTAATCTGGGGTCGCCACAGCGCAATGAACTTGTTTTACGCAGCGTATGCCCTTCCGGCTGCAACCCATCTCTAGAAAACATCCATACACACTCATTCACACATACACTACGGACAATTTTAGCCTACCCAATTCACCTGTGCCACACGTCTTTGGACTGTGGGGGAAACCGGAGAACCCAAAGGAAACCCACGTGAACGCAGGGAGAACATTCAAACTCCACACAGTAACGGCAACTGACCCGTGACCACTTCCTAATGTGCCACTGTTTCAATGTTTTGAGGTCTGTTTTTGGACTTTATGTACTTTGTTGACAAAAGTGCAGTACACTTTAAAGACTGTATGAATGGAGTGGCTTTTAGGGTTTACTCTGATTAGATGATTGTATATTCACCTGGTTTGAGTGTTTAGACACACTAATAGCTTGGTTTTAGTAAGGTTGCCAGTTATTTTATGTTGAGGCAGTGTACAATCTTTTCAAATCTGGAAACATTCAGTACTAGTTGTGTACAAACTAGCCCAATGCTGAACACGGCTAATGTCAAATGCTGATTTTGTATGCAAATGTTTTGGATTGTGATTTGAACACAGTTAAAAATAAAAAAAAGTGAATTGACTATTCTTGTGTATTTAATTTGAATCCTAAAAATTAATAGTAAATGCATAATGAATCAGTTTGTTTTATTTTGTTCAGTAAACTAAAAAAATCTTGTTGGGTAAACATAATCATTTTTGTTCAGTAAACAAAAGATCTTGTTGAATAAACGTGAAAATTTTTGTTCAGCAAACAAAAGATCTTGTTGAGTAAACATGATAATATTTGTTCAGCAAACAAAAATATCTTGTTGGGTGAACATGACATTTTTTGTTCAGCAAACAAAAATATCCTGTTGGTTGAACATGATATTTTTTGTTCAGCAAACAAAATTATCCTGTTGGTTGAACATGATATTTTTTGTTCAGCAAACAAAAATATCCTGTTGGTTGAACATGATATTTTTTGTTCAGCAAACAAAAATGTCTTGTTGGGTTAACATGATATTTTTTGTTCAGCAAACAAAAATGTCTTGTTGAATGAACATGATATTTTTTGTTCAGCAAACAAAAATATCCTGTTGGTTGAACATGATACTTTTTGTTCAGAGAACTAAAGAATTCAACAAAATATTTTGAGTTCACTGGTCTTCAAACCCTGTTTGTTGAGTTAACTCAAAAAGCTATGTGTGATAGGTTGCCTAATTATTTTAAGTTTACTCAACTTTTTTTTTTTACAGTGTAGTAATACCTACTGTGCCACTGCTTCGCCCTAATATTATATTATATTATATTATATTATATTATATTATATTATATTATATTATATTATATTATATTTTATTATATCATATTATATTTTATTTTATTATATTATATTATATTATATTATTTTATTTAATTGTATTTAATTTTATATTATATCATTTATTTATTCATTTTCTTGTCGGCTTAGTCCCTTTATTTATCCGGGGTCGCCACAGCGGAATGAACCGACAGCACTACCTACTGCGCCACTGCCTCGCCCTATATTATCATATTATATTATATTATATTATATTATATTATATTATATTATATTATATCATTTTATATTATATTAGGAAGGGCATCCGCTGCTTAAAACATGTGCTGGATAAGTTGGCGGTTCATTCCGCTGTGGCGACCCCAGATTAATAAAAGGACTAAACCGAAAAGAAAATGAATGAATGAATTTATTATATTAGTCTATTTCTATTAATTTTATCTATCTATCTATCTATCTATCTATCTATCTATCTATCTATCTATCTATCTATCTATCTATCTATCTATCTATCTATCTATCTATCTATCTATCTATCTATCTATCTATCTATCTATCTATCTATCTATCATTTGATTGTTGATTTGTTTTTGTTATTTTAAATGATAGATTGATTGTGAATCCATTTGTCTATTCTATTCTATTCTATTCTATTCTATTCTATTCTATTCTATTCTATTCTATTCTATTCAAGGGTTTAAATTTCCCATGATCCCTAAAGTTGTTTTGTACTTGGCGCCGCTAATTTATCAGCGCCAGTATAGAGTATGCAGCAGCATATGGCCCCGTGAGATCCGCCTCTCTTCCCATCAACCTGCGGCTCATCCTGCTTTTCCATTGGCCTTTTATTCCTCAGACAGCCTGCTATTCCTGAACTCGCCGTAATCGCATCTATCGCGTGTATCCCTCGGCAGGATCGGAGCTGACAGAGTTAATTTCGCTCCTTTTTGCACCCGCGGACGTCGATTTGCCTCGGAATTAAGACGGTGCTTTAAGGGTAGACGGTCGGTTGCGCTATAATTTAACATCGTGCGGGAGGTGGAGCCGCCGAACAGAGCAGCGCGCGCACCACGACATTATTATTCCTCTTAAGTGCATGTAAGTCAATGTTTCGTCCTGTGTTAAATGAATGCACGAGGGCTGTAATGCTCGTTTGCACGTCCGCCTTTAAAGCGGAGCTCACGCTGTATGGCTTCCATACAGATTTGTCGTTGCATAACCTATTGAGCGCCTCGCCTGCATGATCAACATCAGAGTGATTCAGATGGGTTACCGGCGTGAATTTGCCAATTGTACAACTTTGAAACTTGATTATGCATTATTTTGATGTCTTTCATTGTTTTAAAGTGTATTAAACTTCACTTATTAGCATTGCATTTGTGGTTTTAGGGATGTGTTTATAATCATGAGCTATTAAATTTATGCTTGAGTTGCAAGTCAGCACAAATATTAAATATTGCATATTATATTTAATTGATTCCACGTGTTTTGAACAGACTGCAATCATGAGTGATTCAGAAAAACAAACCGTCTCCCTTAAGGACAAGGATGGAGTAGAGAAAAGAGGACGAGGAAGACCAAGGAAGCATCCTAAGGTATATAAAACAATTGCATTATCTGTTAACAGATATATTGATCAATGAGCAAACATAATGCAATCAGTTTAATGCATAAAAATACGCACCCTCAGTTTAGTATAACATTACAGAGGGAACATCTTAAAAGGATAGTTCACCCAAAAAATAATATTGTTTCACTTTTTTATTTCCTTTTAAAAGCTATATGAGTCTCTTTCTTCTGTTAAACACAAATGACAACATTTTAAAGAAAGCTGGAAACCAGTAACCATTGACTTCTATAGAAAAAAAAAACAATGGAAGTCAATGGTTACAGGTTTCAAGCTTCCCTTAAAACACATTTCTTTGTGTTCAACTGAAGAAAGAAACTCATATAAGGGAAAGGAGAGTAAATGAAGACAGCATTTTCCTTTTTGGGTGAACTGTCCCTTTAATAAACATGTTTTCTTTCAGGAATCCAGTGGGTCACCAAGTGCGAAAAAACCAAGAGGACGACCAAAAGGCAGCAAAAACAAAGGCCCATCCAAGAGAGTGAGCAGTCTTGCTTTTAATTAACTCGCATTATGATTAATTAGCCTCTTTGTGTGATCATGGCATAGCCGTGAGTGTGGATATAAATATAGACTTGCTGTTTTTTTTTCTCACTATTGCCTGGTAGTACAACACAGCTGTCTCAGGTTTGCAAACACACAGAGACATATGCATTATTAATTCTGTATAGTGTATGCAGGTTTTTTTTCGTTGACAGCTCATCCCCTGGCTAAATGCAGGTGACCCGCTGTTAGCCACTTAGCCCTGAGCAAAGCACTGTCAGCTCCCGCCTCAAGAGTCCTCCATGAACCCAATGCCCCCTCCATCTGCTGTTATGTGCAGAAAGAGACTCCCTCTGCTGGTGCACTTGCCTTGCTTTGCTATTGGTCTGTGAAAATGCTGTGGGGAGGGGGACAAAAATCACCCATTATATCCAATGGTTTAGCCTGAGAGGGTCAATAGAGAGGAGGAACTATGACGTCACCTTGTAGGCTAATCGGCTGCTAGCATAAAACTGGTTCCCTAGAAAAAATCTCTATAGGATTTTCCCATAGGAAGATTGCAAATAATAAGCTCTGTGTTCAAACACAGTTCATTACACTCACACATTTTTTCCAGCCGGGTAATCCTCACACTAAAATACAACTTTTAGCACTTTTGGATCTTAAATGCAAACGCAAGAACTGAAAAGCTAATATTAGGCTAAAAATGGACTACAGTGCCCTCAGGGCGCTCGCCTGTGACATCAGCACCACCCTGCTACAGACAACTTTTCAAGCTTATTATTAGAAATATGGTCCATGACAAAGATTTTTATTATATTATAATCCACACTATATATTATAAACAAATAAATTCACAAAAACACATGGACCTCCCTGCAGAAAAATCCAGCTTAAACCAGCCTAGGCTGGTTGGCTGGTTTTAGCTGGTCGACCAGGCTGGTTTTAGAGGGGTTTTGGCCATTTCCAGGCTGGTTTCCAGCCATTTCCAGCCTGGTCTTAGCTGGTCAGGTTGGAAACTGACCAGCTAAATCCAGCTAAAACCAGCTTGACTAGCCTGGTTTAAGCAGGACATAGCTCGTTTTGGCTGGGCTCCCAGCCTGGAAATGCTGGTCAAGCTGGTTTTAGCTGGTCATTTCCCAGCCTGACCAGCTAAGACCATGCTGGAAATCAGCCTGGAAATGGCCAAAACCCCTCTTAAACCAGCCTGGTTGACCAGCTAAAACCAGCCAACCAGCCTAGGCTGGTTTAATCTGTTTTTTTTCAGTGGGGAGCTATGTGCCTTTTTGATCGTTTTACGTGGGAAATACATTTTTTTTTTGCTTTACGGTTGTTGTAAAAGTTTTAAAACTATGTATAAATGTGCCTACATATCATAAGACATATTTAAATAAGTCTAATAAGCCTGCTTACCTTAACAGGTGACAGAAATGAGGCGTGAGGAACAAGTCTATCAAATGCCTGCAAGTTCCTTCATTGATAGAGAACAACTTTCAAGATTCTTTTTATGTCACGAAGTACAGTGAAAAGCAGCCCATACAGTCACATATGCTTTACCTTTTAAGGAGGAGTGTAAATATTGCAGTTATGGCAGAGTTAAATGTGTTCAGATAAAGAAAGAAATTAATGAAAAATCACCTGATTACTATAAAATGACAGTTAATATGTGTGTATTTTTACACATTTATTCACACGTTTGTAATACTGAGAGCAGGAAAGAGACAGGCTGCACTCGTGAGCAGTATCTTCATAATATCGTTTAATTAAATAAATGATCAACAAATTAATCTGTCTCGACTGCCTTTAAAAGTGAAGGCATTATCTACGCACAATATAAAATCCCATTTAGAAAAACACTACAAACTATTAAATACTATTCATGAAAATACTTAAATAACAGACAAATCCAAATGCCTAACACAAGCGAGCTGTGCTCCAGACCAGTTCAGCTCAATGACGTATAATGTCATTGACACAGCCTGTAGTCCCATATAGCAACTTGATAGCAACCGTCTTTTTAAAGAAGCGTAACCGATTTAAAAAATCAAGAGTGTGATGTTACTGGTGTGTATTATGTAAAAACCAATAGGGTACATGCCGAAGCATACTAATAGGACTTTTAATTTGCCAGTAACCTGGGTTAACCGCTTCCGGTGAACTGAATGCTATTGCAAAACCGGTGCAATTAAGGTCTGTTTTCTTTAAAAATCAGCGATCTCCACTGGCTGAGTGATATCCAATATAAAGTGGGTCTCAGATTGTACAAGAAGCACCGCATTAATTTCCCCACCATGCCTTTTGAGCATTTATTTTACCCTAGTATATTCAATTGAGCTTCTGCGGTAACCTGCCGATTCTGATAGGTGCGTGCAACAGTTTTATGTCTCGTTTTACGCTTGAGCAACTAAAGGAATGACAAAGTCTATTTAACTGATTGTATTTTAATCACATTACAACATTGATGCAGTAAAATTAACTGAATAAAATAAAAATAAAAATCACTTTAAAAGGTCACCGGAAGTTTATCAAAATGGGAAAAACACTAGCTCGGCATATACCCTATTGACTTTGGGACAAGAGAACCGGAACTGCCTAAATGCTAACTCGGTTCTAGGTTTTTGCATACAAATTGACATCAAGGTTCCTCCACTCTACTGCATGCAACTTAATGACATTTTTTTAATTAGTTTTTTTCTATTAGTTATTAACAGACAGACAGACAAATCCATCATGTAACAATAATCTCTGCAAAAATGTCACAAAGCATGAAAATGGTGACATATATGACCTACAAAAAGACTGGACGTAATGAAAAAACAACAACTTACAAATCTTCAGAAATCAAACAACATTATTAGTCTTTTTGTTATGTTAGAATAAAAAAAAAAATCCCTAATTTTATCAAATTTTGTAGAGTTCCCAGAGGTGGCATTTCTAAATCTTTCCAAATGTAAAGTTGAGGTGAGTCCAAGAAGTCGGTCAGAAAAGAGAAGCCTTCTTCCAGAAACAAATGATAGTTTTCTTAGTTATGCTCTTGCTATACGGAGCAGGTAACCGTACATTTCGGTTGAGAGTCTCCAGGAATTCTGACCAACCCAAAATTGCTATCATTGGGTCAGGTAGTTACATTCAAATAAGGGTCAGAGAGGATCCAAGTGCAAGTGACAATGTTTATTAGTCTTAGTCAATAAACCAACAAGAATTGTGCCAAGCTAGAGGGACGCAGAACACAGGGCAGGAACAGAACAGGAAAACCGGGTCCAGATATTCTCCTCAGGGGCCTGAGCACAGACAGCGCGCGCAGGCACGCACACACATGAGATATATAGGCACTATGATGAGCCTCAGCTGGCGAACTAATCAAACCAGCTGAGTGTCGTCATAGAACGTGAGCATAACAAATCCACATGGACAACCAAAACAAAACAAAACCACGTGATCAAACATACACTCCGGAGAAGCGCACAAACCTGCAACCGTGACACAGGTAGTTAAACACTCATAAACCTTAGCAAAGAGCTGAAATGTCTAAGCAAAAACTTTGAATTTGAATACAGGACCAAAAAGATGTTTTACACTTGTCGCATGTGGGAGAAACCGAGGGTTAGAATTTACTAAGCTTTGTTTTAGAATAGTGAAGTCTGTGTAACACTTTCTACTAAATAAGGTTGTGTCTAGAATTTATAGAACGTGAATAAATTACAGCAAAATGGTGGCTCAGTGGCTAGCACGGTCACCTCACAGCAAGAAGGTCACTGATTCGAGTCCCGACTGGAACAGTTTGCATTTCTGTGTAGTGTTTGCATGTTCTCCTCGTGTTGGCGTGGGTTTTCTCTGGTTGCCCCGATTTCCCCCACAGTTCATGCACTATAGGTGAATTGAAAAAACTAAATTGTGTGTTGTGTATGTGTGTGAATGAGATAATATATAGGTGTTTCCCAGCAGTGTGTTGCGGCTGGAAGAGCATCCGCTGTGTAAAACATATGCTATATAAGTTGACGGTTCATTCTGCTGTGGCGACCCCTGAAGAATAAAGGGATTAAGCTGAAGGAAAGTGAATGAATGAATGAATAAATTACGTGTTTTTAAGACTTGAATAACTTTTTTTTTTTTCAATAGAAATCATCGACCTCTGGCAGCAAAGCGAAGGGAAAGCCTAAGAAAGAGGTAGGTTTTAAAATATTTGAGCTCTTCTGTGGAACACAGATTGAGATATATTGACATTTGGACATGAATGTGACTTGAACATGGCATAAGTGTCAATGTTTCTGAATGTGTAATGAATTAGGTTTCCATGGATGTATTGTTTGTTTGGATACGAAAATATTTGGCTGAGATACAGTGCATCCAGAAAGAAATCACAGCGCTTTACTTTTTCCACATGCTTTTATGTTACAGCCTTATTCCAAAATGGATCAAATTCATTTATTTCCTTAAAATTCTACACACAATACCCCATAATGACAATGTGAAAAAAGAGTTTTTGAAATTGTTGCAAATTTATTAAAAACAAAAAAGCTGAGAAATCACCTGTACATCAGTATTTACAGCCTAACCCATGAAGCTCACAGAATTGAGCTCAGGTACATTCTGTTTCCACTGATCATTCTTGAGATGTTTCAGCAGCTTCACTGGAGTTCACCTGTGGTCAATTCAGTTGATTGGACATGATTTGAAAAGGCACCTGTCTATATAAGGTCCCAGGGTTGACAGTGCATGTCAAAGCACAAACCAAGCATGAAGACAAAGGAATTGTCTGTAGACCTCCGAGACAGGATTGTCTCGAGGCACAACGCTGAGGAAGGTTACAGAAAAATTTCTGCTTCCCTGAAAGTTCCAATGAGCACAGCGACCTCCATCATCCGCATGTGGAAGATGTTTGATACCACCAGGACTCTTCCTAGAGCTGGCCGGCCATCTAAGCTGAGTGATCAGGGGAGAAGGGCGTTAATCAGGGAGGTGATCAATAACCAGATGGTCACTCTGTCTGAGCTCTAGCGTTTTTCTGTGGAGAGAGGAGAACCTTACAGAAGGACAACCATCTGTGCAGCAATCCACCAATCAGGCCTGTATGGTAAAGTGGCCAGACGGAAGCCACTCCCCACCTGGAATTTGCCAAATAGGCATCTGAAGGACTCTCAGACCATAAGAAACCAAATTCTCTGCTCTGATGAGACTCAATTTGAAGTCTTTGGAGTGAATGCCAGGCGTTATGTTTAGAGAAAACCAGGCAGCGCTCATCAACAGGCTAATTGAATCCCTACAGTAAAGCATGGTGGTGGCAGCATCATGCTGTGGGGATGTTTTTCAGCAGCAGGAACTGGAAGACTAGTCAGGATAGAGGGAAAGATGAATGCAGCAATGTACAGAGACATCCTGAATGAAAACCTGCTTCAGAGTGCTCTTGACCTAGACTGGGGCGACAGTTCCTCTTCCAGCAGGACAATGACCCAAAACACACCGCCAAAATAACAATGGAGTGGCTTCACACCAACTCGGTTAATGTTTTTGAGTGGCCCAGCCAGAGCCCAGACCTAAATCCTATTGAACATCTCTGGAGAAATTTGAAAATTGCTGTGCACTTCCCATCTAACCTGATGGAGGAATGGGGAAAAATCCTCAAAGACAGGTTTGCCAAGCTTGTGGCATCATATTCAAAAAGACTTGAATGAATACTTTCCGGATGCACTGTACATCTTGGATGATATGTGGGTGAGTACATTAACAGGAAACGTTCATTTTTGGGTGAGCTATCCCTTTAACAAGCATTTTGTGGAATGAAAGACTTGCACAATTAATAACTGTCTTTTTAGGTGAACTGTCTCTTTAAATTTTCAATTTTATTTCGACTCACACAGCAGCAGTGACACCATCCTGAATGATTTTAAAGGTCAAACTATCTTGCTAAACCTATTTCAAAATGGGAGTTGGTTGTAAATGTCAAATATTGCAGTACATGCAGGAGAGAAGCTTGAATGTTTTTTAACCCCAAATATTTGATCCGAACAGGAAAAGGAAAAACCTCAGGATTCGTCTGAGGACGCTGAAGAAGACGAGGATGAAGAACAGTAACAATCTGACCGGAGCACTACCTCATATTCAACCAAACCAACAGCAGTCTGCTCTCCAACCTGTGGACAACACAGAATGTCTTTCTACAACCACAAAAGGACAGTAACCGATCCTGCATAATACATGAGCTTCATGTCATTAGATCAACTATACTGAAGAAATCACAACCACAATGCATACAATTATGTGTTTCCAGTTATTTCTACTATATATATATAAACACACACACAAATATATATATATATATATATATATATATATATATATATATATATATATATATATATATATATATATATATATATATCTAAATTGGACTGAGGTGCTTTTTTACTATAGCATTGTTTGTAGTTTAGTCACTTTTGTGTCCAAGTAGGAAGATAGATTTAGATCAAGCTATAATTTAATATGTGACATCCTAAGCTTAATAGTTCTTATAGAATGGATTCATTTTGAATGTAGCCAGTCAAACTACACTGTAAAAAATATCTGTAAATGAGCTTTTTTCTGTATTTTCCCCTGTTTTTTATGCTTTTAAATTGAATTATGGGACTTTGATTATTCTTCCGTCAACTTTTAACCTTGAAAAGTTTGAAAAGGGACATTTATTACGGTTTTTAATAGTTTAAAGTGATATATTGTCTGGTTTGGCGGGGTATATTAAGCTACAAAAACCTTGTGATAAACTGCCAGTGCATTTTCTGCTATATTACACTCTTATTTCTCTATATTTAATAATTTTATAAACTATTAAAACGACTAAAATGTCAATAAAAGTCACTTTGTTAAACTGCAGAGTTGAATTTTCAGCATCAAAAGTTGACAGGATATCCCATAATGCAATTCACAACCATAAATAAATGGATAATTAACCGATATTTATTTTACAGTGTAGCTTTTTGTTAGTGTAGCTGTGCAACTATCATCATTGAGTATTTGTTTGAAGGCAGGGGACTTGTATTTTGTAGTAACTGAAAAATAAGTTACCCTGACCAGGAGTGTATAGATTTTAGCAGCTTATAAATGTGATGTTTTCCACTAGAATCCCCAGAAATCAGCATTGAGGATTATAACACACGGTTTGTGTCTGGATGTACTGTGTATTTCTATATTTGTTGGTCACTGTAGAAGTTCCTGGAAGCATCGTTACGTTTTTGAAGCCATCGCTGACACTGATCTCTCGGGTACAAATTGCACTTTTAAACTGATTCGCAGAAAACAGTTGATTCGTTTTTGATGGTATATTATGCTAGACGACATTCCTGGTAACAAAAAATAGCACTATTTTAAAACTGCATGATGATACTTATTGTGCTTATTCCTTTTTAAGAAACAATGTGGCCATTTTTGGATTTCTTAAATGGTTAAAAAAAAGTTGGAATTTAAAAAAACAATATATACACTTACCGGCCACTTTATTAGGTACACCTGTCCAACTGCTCATTAACGCAAATTTCTAATCAGCCAATCACATGCCAGCACCTCAATACATTTAGGCATGTAGACATGGTCAAGACGATCTGCTGCAGTTCAAACCGAGGTATGCAAAGGAGCATCAACATGTCCAACCTTGAGGCAGATGGGCTACAACAGCAGAAGACCACACCGGGTGCCACTCTTGTTAGCTAAGAACAGGAAACAGGCTACGATTTGCACAGACTCACCAAAATTGGAAAACGCTTGCTGGTCTGATGAGTCTTAATTTTTGCTGCGACATTCGGATGGTCGGGTCAGAATTTAGCATCAACAATATGAAAGAATGGATCCATCCTGCCTTGTATCAACAGTTCAGGCTGGTGGTGGTGGTGTAATGGTGTGGGGGATATTTCCTTGACACACTTTGGGCTCATTAGTACCAACTGAGCATCGAGTAAACACCACAGCCTACCTGAGTATTGTTGCTGACCATGCCCATCCCTTTATGACCACAGTGTACCCATCTTCTGATGACTACTTTCAGCAGGATAACGCACCATGTCATAAAGCGTGAATCATCTCAGACTGGTTTCTTGAACATGACAATGAGTTCACTGTACTCAAATGGCTTCCACAGTCACCAGATATTAATCCAATAGAGCAACTTTGGGATGTGGTGGAACGGGAGATTCACATCATGGTTGTGCAGCAGCCGACAAATCTCCAGCAACTGTGATGCTATCATGTCAATATGGAGCAAAATCTCTGAGGAATATTTCCAATACCTTGTTAAATCTATCCCACGAAGGATTAAGGCAGTTCTGAAGGCAAAACGAAGTCCAACCTGGCACTAGTAAGGTGTACCTAATAAAGTGGCCGATGCCTTGCACATTGAAGTGGTTCTTGGATTTTTTTGGTGACCAAAAATCAAACATTGAAATGTATATTAATGTTACAAATACTCCACATTTTTATGGCATTGTTCCTTAAAGCACGGGTTCTCAAACTTTTCAGCTCGCGACCCCCAAAATAACAATGCCAGTGGCTCGCGACCCCCAATATCCTCTGAGGTGGTTATAAATACAAAAACTTTGCATGCAATGGTGCACACACACCAATAGACCTAAGTCTATTCCTCGTAGATTTTTTTTATGTATGTTAGTGCTGTAAATGGCCCAGAAAGCATAGCTTCAGATGCAGCTATGCTGTGTGTTTAATATAATGTAATTACCCCAGCGATCGCAATTGAATAGAACTAGTAACTATTAGCTACTATAGTAACTTTATAAAGTAGTATATAGTAACTACAGTATAAATTACTATTTTTTTCTAGGTTATGGATAAAATATGGTAATTCTTATGGTTTAATAAAAATAAATAGATTTTTGGAAATCACCAGGCGACCCCCTTTCATTGTCCCACGACCCCTCGGGGGTCCCGACCCCCACTTTGAGAACCACTGCCTTAAAGGACACTTTGCATTACAGATTTCTCCACACCCAAGTGCTTTTAAATGAGAATGATTTCTTTAAATCATCTGGCTGTACATGCAAATGCTTCAAATTTCTGACTCAAAAATAAATGACACATTCCCTATGTACTGTATACATATGACAGGATACAAATTTTTCATATGTGCAAATTCAAACTATAGCCCACATAAATCCTCCTTAAAACACTAGGATTGTATTTTACACATTTAAGTCCTTCTAATCCTCAGAACTCTGAGACATTCACCTCAGGTATAAAGGTTTTATGAACAGACAGCAAAAGCCCAAGACAATGTCAATCCCTCCGGCAGTAGAAAAACCCTTTATTCTGCAGTGATTGTCCGTGTAGCAGTAAATAGCCTAGGGATGCTGTGTGTGTGTGTGACATTTTAATAAAACAATACTAGAGTTCTAAAATGTGTGTTAGATTTATAGACTGTTTATTTGTATATGTATAATGTGTGTGTTGATCTGAATAAAAATACTTTTTCAATTTGGTTTTGAGTCTTAATTGTTTACAGCAATTGATATTTTATCATGTATTTATACCTTTATTTATATATATTTTTAATTAGGTTCATCTTAACATTATCTGTTGTGTGTGTGTGTGTCAGCACTTCTACTAGCACTTCTTATTTCCTACTCTCTATTCCAATCTTTTGTGTTTTCTTGATATTTAAATATAAAAAATAAATATATAAAATAATAATGTGGTGGCTCAGAGATTAGCACTCACAGATAGTCGTCTCACAGCAAGAAGGTTGCTGGTTTGAGTCCAGGCTGGATGAGTTGGCATTTCTGCGTGGAGTTTGCATGTTCTCCGGTTTCCCCCACAGTACAAACACATGCGCTATAAGTGAACCGAATATAACTAAATTGGCCGTAGTGTATGTGTGCGCATGTGAGAGTGTATGGGTTTCCCACACTGTAAAAATAAAAAGTTGAGATAACTTACAAATTTAAAGCAACCGGCTGCAAATAAATTTTAAGTTTATTAAGCTTCAGTGCTTGAAGTTGTGCCAAATTATTTTTGTAAGTTGAATGAAAAGGCTGTTTTAAGTCAAGTTTACTTTATGGAATAATTTGGCCCAACTTCAAGCACTGAAGCTTAATAAACACAAGATTTCTTTGCAGCCGGTTGCTTTCAAATTTTAAGTAAACTCAACTCTTATTTTTTACAGTGGTAAATGCTCAAATGAAGAAATATAAATTCAAAAGTCTCCTCAACTGATGTTTTTTTCATCAAACAAACAAAAAACCTGCAGTTAAATGGTTTTTATGAGTAAATTCAACTCTGAGCTCAAAAATATGTCCACCTAACTTAAAATTTTAAACTGAGTTAACAATTTGTAAGTTAGATTTTCTACAGTGCAGTACCAGAAGGGCATTTGCTGTGTAAAACATTTGCTGGATAAGTTGGCGGTTCATTCCGCTGTGGGAACCCCTGATGAATAAAAGGACTAAGCCGAAGGAAAATGAATGAATGATTTGTAGTTTTATTGTATGACATTGTACATTTCAGTGGGTACTTTCAACACCTTATGAATGTTTTATTATTATTTATAATTTATTTTGTTTTATTTAACACTTGATTTTTTTAAGTGCAATATTTACTGTTTATTTACATAATTTATGCAATTATACTTTCTTAGTAGCTTATATAATGACAATGACTTTCATGTATTTCTATTCACCACTGATTTTTTATCACATATAGCAACTAAAGTTAATAAAATAAATAAAACATGGTGTTTATTCTTTTAAAATGTTGCATATGTGTATCTTAATGTTATATTAATTTAAATTTATGAAATTAATAAAAAATAATATTAATGACAACAAGATTTTCGTGTGTACATTGAGTTTTATTTTTTAAAAGGAATTTTGGTTGTACTAATATTCATAATCTAATAATAATAATAATAATAATAATGTAATCCTTAATATTGTTAAAATATAAAATATAGTTTAGAACAGTTTAGTTTATTGGTGAAACTGAAGATAGCCCGTGTTTTGCCCTATAGTGCTTGTGTTATACTGTTGTACTGCAATAAATAATACAAAATAAATATAAATAAATAAACAAACAATGAACAAATGGCAACCTTTATTAGTTGTGCTGTGCTCTCTGTTTTGCGCGTTTTGACGAACGTGTTTACATGGGTTTTGCCTTTTTGTGCTTGTGTTATAATAAATATAAATAAATAAACAAACAAACAATGAACAGGCGGTCATGCGCAATTTCCTACCCGCAGGCCTTATTCTTGAAAACAACTACGTGCGGTTTACTAGTCTGCGCCGTACAGGTTGCGCACATCCCGTAGTAAGTTAGCGGTTTGGATAATGGCGTCTATCTCCGAGATGCGCTCGGTTTTGGGAAAATGAAGCGCAGAAGAGCTCATTTCCAGTGATTCACGCGGCGTTTCCATTCACGGACTTTGCCTCAGTTCAGGTTCAGATCTCAGTCTTGACGAAATGATGAAACTTAAGTCAAACCAGACGCGCACATATGATGGAGACGGCTACAAGAAGCGGGCCGCCTGCCTTTGCTTCAGGAACGACACCGAGCAGGAGGTGAGTCCCAGTACTGCGAGCGAAGGATCGGCGGATCTGGCCGCCGAAATGAGCGTCTGTCAGTCGGTGGAGTTTAAAAGCTTCGACCGCAAGTTAGCGGTGTGCTATTAGCGGTTAGCCTGGATAGCGAAGCTGGCCTAGCATTAAAGCGATAATCAATGAAGCTGCAGTGCTAACGCGCTACTCGCTGACAGTTTGACTGATTTGCTGACATCCAGCTGATGTGGGATTGTGAAAAATAAATCTCGCTTAAGAAAATCAATCACACCACAACGTACATAATTACAAATAATTCAAACTAATAATGATAATTTGAGATCTAGCATGGTGTCCATGTTACTAACAAAATACCATAGTAACGTTACTTTTTATTTAGAGCACTCAAGTTAATTGAGGTAAAGTTGGTTTTATATTCGCACATTCAGACTTTCTCCTTTGTAGTATAATTTCAAAAAAGTATTATTTGCAAATTCTAAATAGGGAAATCATATTATCAGACAATGATGTTGCTCACAGTCAATTAAATAGTGCTAATGTTGTTTTGAAGTAGATACGATTTTAGACCGAATATTCAAATTAGTGTGGTGAAAATTAAAGGGACCTTTTAAATATACGAATGTGCGAATATTAAACCAACTTTACCTCAATTAACATTGGGAATTGAAGGGATAGTTCACCCCCCATAAAATGTAAATGTTCACACTCTTCACTATTTCACTTTCGTCAATTGGTGAAGTTTGTTCCTCGCCACTGTCGCCACTGGCTTGCATGATTCGAGACATTTGGAGCTGCGCATCAATGGGTTAGCTTTTCAGTGTTTGGGCTTTCAGCAGTGAAAATTAAACAACACTGAACTGAACTAAACTCAACTTTGAAAACTGGACTGACACAGTTTCAGTTTACTAGAACTTCTATGTTAGGCTGCTTTAACACAATCTACATGGTAAAAGCATTTTAGAAATAAACATAAATTGAATGAAAGTATTTTATTACTCTCGGGTGGTTCCAAACCTTTAAGAGTTTCTTTATTTTGTTGAAAAAAGTTAGGTAACCACTAACTTCCATAAAAGCAATATACTGTGGAAGTCAATGGTTACAGGTTTCCAGCATTCTTCAAAATATCTCGTTTAGGGTTGAAGAGAACAAAGAAAAACGAACAGGTTTGAAACAAGTGAAGGATGAGTAAATGATTAAAGTATTTTCAGTTTTTGGTTAACTATCCTCTGAAATATTCTTTGTAATTTTGATGACACTGCTATGTAGGCATGGGCCGGTATAAAATTTTGACGGTATGATAACCTTGGATAAAAATGTCATGGTTTCACGCTATCACGGTACTGTGATTACTGCTCTAAAATATGTTCTTTGTAAGTGTCTGGGTAAACGAGAAAAAAAAAAATCCCTTTTGAACACAGTTTATTTTATTTTGAGAAACATTTAAAATATTTCAGAGCAGTAAACATGTCAGGCTAAATGAATTATTGAATTTTGCTGTCTTCATTTGTTTTAAAAACAGTTTTTTTTTTACAATTTAAAAAGCATATTTTCTGCTGGAGATATTGTTGTCCTAAAAAACAAAACAAAAAATTGAAATAAAAAATGTTACACATACCTTAGGAACGGTATTGCAGAAAATCTTGATGATTTTAAAACCTTGACTTTTCCAAACTGTGGTATACCCTGAAAACGGTAACCATCCCACCATGCCTACTACCTTGGTACAATCATGGTGTCAGTAGCAAACCTAGGGTAAGTACCACTTACAATTGTATTTAGATGAGTCCAACTAACAAGTAGTACTCTACTGTTCTTTCAAAGCAGTAGGGTTAGCATCTCTTGCAAAACAAATAGCATATCTGAGAATATTGTAGTAGTTGTGAATATACCATGGGACTTGAATTTTCAAAATATGATTTATGAAAGTTGCAAATCAACCCAAATGAAGTATGTCTCTTCAATATGAAAGACCAAGTGGTACCTATGGTATTTTTAAGAAGAATCCCTTATTTCACATTTATTAACCGTATTTTAGCCCTTTATTGAGCAAGGAACCATCTATATTAACTTAACATTGATTACAGTATATATTTTTAAGGGGTAAAAGTTTTATAATAACCCCCAGTAACACTCCTTTTTCCTTAAAGGGTTAAACAAATGTTTAATTATCAAATTTATTCTGTACAACTACATTACCCATGATGCTATGCAGCAAATCTACCAATAAGAAAGTTGCAGTGAGCAAAGTGCTTCAAAAGTGATTTTTAGCTCATTACACTGCCATATTGCATCCCTATGCTTTTTAAATACATGTATACTAAACGCACATAATGTGTCCGCACAGGTGTTACTGGTGAGCAGCAGCAGACATCCAGACAAATGGATCGTACCTGGAGGTGGAATGGAGCCTGAAGAAGAGCCCAACGTCGCTGCTGCCCGAGAAGTCTGTGAAGAGGTTTGACATTTAGCACGTACTTCTACAGTGTCATGTATCAAAATATGTCATCTCCTTTATTATTTATAATATTTTACTCCCTTTAGAGGAAAATTACAATGACTAAAAACATTACCATAGTTTCCAATAAGGTATGTATGTGGCTAATAATGTGTATAAAATGTACACGGTTTCTAATTTAAATGCATACTGTTTGTTTTGTATAATATTAACATGAAATAGATTCAAAGTCTGTATATTTTAGCCTGTTAATTCTAATACAGGTTGTCCGCAGGGTCTTAAAAAGTAATGAAAGTTGACAAGTCATTTAAGAGAAATTTAAGGCCTTTAAAAGTATTTAAAAGTCTCACATGCTATTTTACAAGGTATTACATTTTCCATCGGTATACTTACTGTAAGTTGCCTGAGTTAGTATGCAAATATTGGGATGCCGTGGAGTTGCAATGTAAAAATTGCAATGACTAAAATAATTCCACAGTACTATAGTTTCCAATAGGTTTATTTCTTTGGCTAATATATGTATATAAAATGTACACAATTTCTAATTTGAATGCATGCTCTTTTGTATAATGTGAACTAGGGATGCAACATTACAGTTAGCCTATAGTTCAATACAAATCTCGTTTTTTTTACACGGTGTTTGGTTCTGATGGCTTGACACATGTTTTTTTTTTCTATGCTTTGGTAATAGTAACAGTAAGAGGTAAAGAAGAAAAAAATAAAAGCGATTTATTGCAATACTCTTTTATTTTACTCAAATGCCAAGAAAAGTACTCTAGTTCCTAGTGTAGTGTATAAAAATGAACACTGAAAATGTACAATGTGCAAACTGGGGAACAGATAAATTCCTACATTTTGAAAATAAACAAAAGTTAATAAAGAAAAACTGACCATTTCAAATAAACATATTTGTACTTCAGTAAACATAAATAAACCTTCTTAAATATCTTGGTGCTAAAAAAAGGGCATGACGGTAGTTTGTAAAGCGTATTGAGTGCTTTTATAAGATGACAAAAGCCCACATCTCCAATCACCGAAAACGACTTTAAATCTTTAGCAATGCACAACCCTACTGCCTTTGTTATTTTTATGTGTCCCTCGGAACCAGTATGTTTGCTTGATTCAGCGAGGGATTGTTGTTTTTTGGAGGACTTGATTACCTTCTCTGCTATCCTGCTTTCAGACAGTGATATTGCTGGGTGATGGCGACGCAGATGTGCAGTCATGTTGGAAGTGTTTCCACTTGAGTAGGCTATACATGTAAAACAATGCTTGCACACAGTCATTTTTGTTCACCGTTTTTTCTTTCACTGGCTTTATACTCAACGGCAAAACCGAAATATTCTCACACCGCAGATTTGAAAGACGCCGGGGCTTCCTCGTACGTTGCCTCACTGCCGCTCGCCATGTTAAAATGTGGAATGATGCTTAGGCGCCCACTAACTTTACAGCATAGTGATTGAATATTTACTCGCGGGGAGGAGTTTCTTTTTCTTATCTCAGCTCGTAGACTTACAGGCACACACAAACAGTCAATTCGGAGATTAAAAAAAAAATGCACATAAATTGTTCAAATGTAAAACAGAAAAAAATGCAATTCACAAGCATGTATTGAACCGTGGATGTTGTACCAAACAGTTCAATATTATATTGAGAGTTGTTGCATCCCTAATATTAACATAGATTAGATTCAAAGTCGGTAGATTTTGGTCTGATATTTCTAATACAGGGGTTTTAAAGAGTATTCAAAGTTAATAAGTCATTTTAGAATGCCTGTAAAAATTATTTGAGTCTTAAATTGTATAATTTTTTATTTTACAAGGTATTAATTTTTTTGTATTCTAAAACTTGTCTAAATGTATTCTGCAAATATTGACAATTATTTGTTATTAATTATTATTAAATCAATCAAATCCTGCTAGATGCGCAATGTTTATGAAAGTCAGGCCACCCGGTGCTCCGCCTCTGGTCGCCAGTGTTACCGGTTGAAACGTTAAGTGGCGACGAGGACTTAAAATGTATGAAAAGAGTTTTAAAAAGCTCTTAAAAGCTTAAAATATTTCTGTATATATCCAAATAACATTGATTGGTTGGCTAGCAGGTGTATTGGCCCATCAGTACTAAGAATAACTACTTGTTTTTAGAATTTATTATTATTATTTTTCAACTTGATCCTTGTTTTTTTTTATCTCTGCTGACTTAACTAAATGAGGTTTCTCATAAAGAGTAATGATAATGTTCACTTAGCTGAGATCTGCCAAACTCTCCTATTTTTCTCTGGCCATCTGACAGACAGCAAACATGCTGTTCATCCTGCCGGAACGATCGCCTTACAGTTTTAAAGGGCATTACACTCAGATTAAGAGCTGCTCTTCACACCTCCACTGCCAGACAGTAGCCAAGAGCCACCATAGACTAAAAACATACCATGACACAATGTCAGGTGTTCAGTGCCACCACATTTGTGGAATTGTCCTGAAGTCATAGACCACATTAAAACATGTTTACATTTTAAAAATGAATACAGTGTTGAATTGGTAATAATTATTTAGGATTGGGCTTTTCTCGGTTGCCCCTGAAATGCGGGTAAATAAACATGTGATTTTTCTGTGCGGATGGTCACATGTTATTGGTTGCATTCAAACTCTAGATGCACTTCAGAATATTTGAAAATCATGCTTTTGTTTTGACAAAAACAGTTCGAAGTAAGACAGCAAGTAACTTTGATGTAAAAGTCATGGATTAAATGAAAGACTTTTATTACGTTATAAATGAATGCAGTTCTTTTGAACTTTGCACATCAAAAAACATCAGCCATAAGTCGCAAAACATAAAGGAGCACAACAGTTTTATATACGTTGATAAAATAATAATTGTAAATGTTTAAAATTGTCCTGTTGCATGTCAAATCGTGATTAATCGCATCCAAAGTAAAAAAAAAATCATATTGTGTGTGTATTCAATGTTTATAAATGTTGTGTATATATAAATATTTACAAAAACATTGACATGTATATTTATATACAAATTGTATTATAAATATGAAAAAAAGAGAATTAATATACATGGATAAAGCTTTTATTTTGGAAACAATTTAATTGTCATTAATTTAAAAATTTGCCAGCACTAGTTTAAAATCCTTATAAATATATCAGAATGACAGTGCTTCCCACAGGTTTGAAATACTTGCGGTGGTAGCTGGATTGAAACACCATTTACCCACATCGCATAAATAGTTAACTATATGAGACAAACAAAACATAATTTCATTTTTAATAATAATTGATCCTTCCCTAAGCCCCGCCCTCCTTAGTTACTGTTGCTACGCCTGTCAAGCTTTCGTGCCTGGCACGGCTTTTACAATGTGTAAGCGCCAGTGTCAGACATTGCCAGGGATATAATGTCCTTTTTGGCGAACAGGTGGTATATCCGAGAAAGCCAGACAAAAAAGGACTGCAGTATGCATTACAGGGGTATATTCACAACATAATAGGCGACCGATTAGAGAATAATTCATTCAAAATTGAAGCTAGCTTAGCCTAGCCGCTTCATACGCTGAACATACAACAGCTTAGCTCATGCTCAGCAGGAGAGGTGAAATTTTTAAATAATCTAATAATAATAACAAATTAAATCGTGATTTCTCTATTTTTTTGCCAAAAAGGCAAGTTAGAGCTAAACCACCGAGATTGATGACCCCTGACTTAGTTGATCGTAGATGTTTGGCTATATTGAGCGGATACAAAAAAAAAAAGTGTAAAAGGATGTTAATAATAGAAAAAAGTGTCACTAAATGTACTTGAGCAACTGTTAATATACCTGGACGGCCCACCCAAGTAAAGTCTATGTGGGAAGCACTGAATGATTCTGAAGGATAATGAGTAATGATGCAAAGCAGATTTTTTTGTATCACATTTTACATCTAATTTAAAGTATAAAACATTAGTTTAAAACTCTAATAATATATCATTAAGTTGCTTTTTTTTTTCCAGCAAATAAATACATCTTTGAAGAGCAACTTTTAGAGCAATCATTAATTAACATGATTATACAAATGATTAATTAATAAATGTACTTAAAATCAGTGAACAAAAAATATTAAAACAATTATAAGACTGCAAATTAAATCATTTTCGTTAGTGATCTCAAACTGGACCATATCTGAGCTAAATTTAGATCCTGCTTGATGATAATCGACCATTGGCATGTTGTCTACATGGCTTTTGGCCTGAAGAGTGTCCTGATGGATCTCTATCACTCAGGTCAGGTGTACACGGTCCCTCACTGCTTGTTTTCACTGCCGTGTCTTTTCTTGACCTCTGAAAACATATCAGCTGTCAAATCCACATGAACTCAGTCAGTGGTTCTGCACTGAAAACCCCCTGACCACATAATGAATCCTGTTGTTTCAGTTTTATCTGTTCATTGTTTTATAGGCTGGAGTCAAGGGCACTTTAGGAAGACTAGTAGGAATATTTGAGGTAAGTAGTATTTGAAAGCAAGGTTTTTGTATTAAAGCTTGTAAAATGTAATTGTAAAGGGATTTAAATATTGCTTTATTCTCAGAATCGAGATAGGAAACACAGAACGTATGTGTACGTTCTCATCGTAACCGAAGTTCTGGAAGATTGGGAGGATTCGGTGAACATTGGTAAGTCCTCCGGGTTAGGATTTGGTAAGATAAATTTTTATTTACATTTTTAAAATATAAATATTATGAAATATTAGAATTCAAAACACCAGTTTCCTGTTTGAATGTACACTCACTGGTCATTTTATTAGGTACTCCTTGCTAGCACCAAGTTGGACCATATTTTCCTTTTAAAACCACCCTAATTTTTGTGGCCTAGATTCAGCAAGGGGATTTTGCTTTATTTTGACATAATTTGTTGGCTGAACATGCGTGATGTGAGTTTCCCATTCCAGCACATTCCAAAGGTGCTCTTTTGGATTGAGATTTGGGGTCTGTTCTGTAAACTTGTGCCGAGTTCAGACTGCTTGATTTTAGCCCCGATTTTGACTCGCCGACAGGTTTGAGAAATCGTCGACAACTGCATGATATCACAGGCAAACCGGTGCTTGTTCATGCGAATAGCAATCACACAGTGTGAACTATCAAATACAGTCAGCTATTTGCCATGCTAAATATCAGGAGCTGTCTGCGATTCAAATCATGCTGTGTGAAATGAGTTTTGACTGAAAATAAAATCAGCGATCACCCACAGCCAATGAGAGAGCAGCATCCACTAGTATGGGTATCTGCAGGCCAGCGGGAGATTGTGGGAGAAGTTAAAAACATTTTCAGTTTATTTGGACCCAAGAAATCAGGGAAATACTAGTGTAAATTTGGCAACAACGTTGTGATCTGAGCAATATCACAACCGGGTCAAAAAAGAAAAAAACTTGAAGAAGAATTGCTAACTCCCGTAAAGTAAAAATGTACATTTTCTACCCCATTGAAGGCTTGTTTCTCGTAATGTAGTTAATAACAAAATAATACTACGTGTGTTTGGTTGTGAAACGTAGTTTGGACAAAGTTGCAAAATGTAAACACTTGTAAACAAAGCAGCGACAAAATGCCAGCCCAGATAGTCATGCTGTGTGAAAACATCTGTGACACGATTACTTTGAAAATCATGCAGTCTGAACTCGGCATTAGCCACCATGTTAAGTCTTGGTCTTACAGACTAGTTTTACCAAATACCAGTCAGTCAAGGGGTAAACATCATGCTGATGATTCACAGGGCAACTTTTTGAACATTGTTGCTTGGCTCCTTTTCTACTAAGAATGGGTAACAATAATATGTGCGTCACCCATTATCCTAATTAGATGCCTGTTTAACTCTTCTTTGACTCTTCTGTAGTTACATCATGTACTAAGACTGATAAAAAAGAAAGGTGGCTATTATATAGGTCAATATGGTAACAACTATACTCTCATTCCGACGTAATAATCAAGGAACTTTGCTGCTGTACCATAGCTGCAGCAGGCACAAGGCTATTATGCAGTGCTGTTACCTGGCTGGGGACTATTTTCAGGCACTACGTAATATCATTGCGCCTAAAATCTTTCATGTTGTAATGCTTTGTTTTAACCCTAAATGCATAGAGTAGCTGCGATGTGATTGGCTGATTCTAAATTTGTTGTAACAAGCAATTGAGTGGGAGTACCTACCCAATAAAGTGACTGGTAAGTGCACAATGTTACTGCATTTACTAATGCCAACTTATTGGCTTTATAATGTGTGAAATCAAAATTTACAATGTTTGTTTTGCTAGCGCACATTGCTATTCTTTAGGTGAACAATTATTCTTTGCAAGTTAAATGGCTGAAAAACGTTTTCAGCCTGATCTCACGAAAAAATGTAATTTTTTTTACATTTTGTTAGTTTAATGACTAATTTGTAGTCGTATGAAAATGTACAAATATTTTAAAAGGAGGCATGTCACCAAACCCCACCACTAAACCCAACCGTCATTGGGGGATAAGAAAATCAGACTAAATTGTACGAATGAGATCGTACAAATTCATTTGAATTAGCCACTAAATTAAAAAGTTAAGAATTCCTGTGTGATATTGTTGCATTATTTGCTTCTGCATCTGCATTTGCAGTGGCGGTCCTTCTCTGTTGACATCCGGCTTCCATAGCAACTGCATAGCAGTATAATTAACCACTCCCCTCTTACCCAGTTTGCGAATTATACATTGATAATCGTGTGTGTGTGTGTGTGGGAAGGGGGGGTCAACTTTTTCGGTAGTAGTTTGGTAGTACATGCTTCAGTGAATCTAATTTATGAATGTATTTAAATTACATCTAATTTAAAAATAAAAGGTATACATTTTCAGTGTTTCCATGGATATTTAGTAACTGATCAGTCAACCCCCCCTGTAATTTGCGCCGTTCTCTTACCGTTAGTTTGCTATAAGTGAATGATGTGCAGAAAAGAAAGCCACGCCCCCTATTTAATATTCCATTTCTGTAAGAAGTTCATCAGCGTACTGAAATAAAAGTCTTAGCAACTGTGTGTGTGTGTGTGTGTGTGTGTGTGTGTGTGTGTGTGTGTGTGTGTGTGTGTGTGTGTGTGTGTGTGTGTGTGTGTGTGTGTGTGTGTGTGTGTGTGTGTGTGTGTGTGTGTGTGTGTGTGTGTGTGTGTGTGTGTGTGTGTGTGTGTGTGTGTTAATGTTTTGACAGGGAGAAAAAGGGAATGGTTCAAAATTGACGATGCCATACAAGTGTTGCAGTGTCACAAACCAGTACAGGCCTCTTACTTCACGGCTCTACAGGAAGGCTGTCTGAACAGTAACGGGACGCCCCTGGTGGCCACGATAGGCGGAGGAGACCTGTCACCCACCTACAGCATTAATCAGAGCTCCGTCTCTGATATGAGATAACTAACGCAAAACACAGACACTCCGGATGCTTCCACCACTCTTGCTCTTACTTTCATTGCTCCATACTTATTATTTTTCTTTCTCACAAAAAAAAATCAAACAAAAAGAAATAGACACAATGGTTTGCCAAGGCCTTTTGAGCGCCAAGAAGGTGGCCCAGACATCAAGAGTCGGTGGAATATTCGATGCGTTTTGTAAATGTGATACTTCTGCGCTTTTTTTTCCCTCCATGTTTAAATTCTCCTTTCATGCGGACTGTTGCATGAAGACCCTCTTTCGTCCCTTTTAGTGCCCGCTCTGCGGCTCATGTGTGAGATTAAACGAATGCAAGAATTACTTTTTACTGTTGTGAGGTATAAAACATACACATGGTGCGTCAGCATGTGGCTTTCAGTATTTTTACACATTCGATTTCCTCTGCGTGTATGGCGAGCCACATTTTAAATTTAATCAATAACCCGTAGTACTATCTGTTTTCAAGTTACTAGTTCTTATTTTTAAGATACTAGTATATTTTCCACCAAGGACTAGTACTTATTTATTAGATACTAGTGCATATTTGTTAGATACTAGTGTCTATTCTTTAGGTAGTAGTTCTCATTTATTAGATACTAGTACCTATTAAATAGATACTAGTACTTATGTATTAGATACTAGTACTTCTTTAATAGATACTATTACTTTTTAGTTACTAGTATCTATTTAGTAGGTACTAGTACTTATTCATTTTTACTAGTACATATTAAATAGATACTAGTGTTTATTTATTAGATACTAGTGCTTCTTCAATAGATACTATTACTTATTAGTTTCTAGTATCTATTTAGTAGGTACTAGTACTTATTCATTTTTACTAGTACTTATTAAATAGATACTAGTACTTATGTATTAGATACTAGTACTTCTTCAATAGATACTATTACTTATTAGTTACTAGTATCTATTTAGTAGGTACTAGTACTTATTCATTTTTACTAGTACTTATTAAATAGATACTAGTGCTTATTTATTAGATACTAGTGCTTGTTTATAAGATACTAGTGCTTATTTATTAGATGCTAGTGCTTATTTATTAGATACTAGTGCTTGTTTATTAGATACTAGTGCTTATTTATTAGATACTAGTACTTATTTATTAGATACTTGTGCTTATTTTAATAGTGACTAGTTACTATTCTGTTGTTACTAGTAACAAAGTTACATTTTTTCCATTGATTTTTATGGGATCTGTCGTTGAGATATCAACTATTCCGTTTTGACTTGTGTATTCCAGCTGGAAATAGTACATCTTTTTATGTACTAGTAGTTAATCATTAGGTATTAGTACTTATGAAATAGATACTAAAACTTATTTAAAAGGTACTAGGTACACATTTATTAAATACTAGTATTTGTTTGAAATGTTACTAGTAAATGGTAGTTTATTTTACTAGTAAAATGTTTAGTTGAACTCTTTCATTTGGACTAGCAACAAAGCAAAACTGACTAGTAAAATAAGAATTGTTACTAGTAATAGTTATAAAAGATACTAGTGTCAAATAAATACTAGTACTAATGAATAACTACTAGTACATTAAAATATGTACTAGCCCCAGCTGGAATACACTAGTCAAAACTAAATATTTGATATCTCAATGACAGATCCCATAGAAATCAATGGAATTTTTTTAAATTTGTTACTAGTAACAGCAGAATAGTTACTAATTACTAGTATTTATTTAATAAGTACTAGTACATAATGTATAAGTAGTAAGTAGTAAAAAATATGTACTAATATCTTCTTAATGAGTACTAGTATCTAATAAAAAACAGTGTCTAATGAGTAAGCACTAGTATATTTTCATAAAGCACTAGTATCTAAAGAATAAACACGAGTATTTAATGAATAGGCACTAGTATTAGTAAAGCAGGGGATCTCAAACTTTTTTTACCAAGGACCACCTCAGAAAAAAAGTAGTCTCTCTTGTTATTAAGATCTACATAACCATGTCTATTTTAGTGCTTCTTAACTGCTTGATCGATTGTATAATTTTTGTATTGCTTTCTATGTTGTCCAGGGACAACAGATGAAAAATAGCCTTCTTGCTAATTCTGGTGCATTTGCAGAAATGCTAATTAATGTACACTGTCCCTGCCAAATAAACAAATAAATAAACAAACAAACAAGTAAGAAACTCACCATAATGAGTAGTATTGAAATATAGTAACATAGTAGGCCCAGTAAAGAAGCTACAGCTCTGTACAGTTCAAAAACATGGTAGATTAATTCCTAATAATAAGAATATTTATTATTATCAGCCACTTTAAACATTATAAATACTTTGAACATTAACACTGTACTGTGCTTATATGTAAAAAAACAAACAAACAAACAATAAAACGTCAATGTTTATATTGAAATGAGCTTTTAAAAGTTAAAAATGGTAGATTACTGTTCCTAAAAAGTAAAAAAAAAAAAAAAAACTCCTGTACTTAAATGTAAAGTATTAACATATTTGCCTATTCATCAAAACCTGGGGATGTTGCTTGGACCTCATAAATATAGGCTATATGTCATCACATTAATATATAAATCATTTTTGATAATTTTTGAAAAATATGTAGCATGTACATATGACATATTCCTCCGCATACCACTAGAAGGAAGCCCACTTACCACTTGTGGTACAGGTACCACAGTTAAAGAACTACTGATCTAAAGAATAGGCATCTAACGAATAAGCACTAGTATCTAATGAAAAAGTACCAGTACTTAATGGAAAAGAGACTAGCATCTAAAAAATAAGCACTACTTTTTTAAATAGATACTAGTAGGGGTTATTGATTAAATGTCAAAACGGCTTGCCATACTGCGTGCGTGCGTGTGTGTGAACGCGTTTTTCGTTGGTTCTCTTTCTGCGGGTTGTGGGAGGAAATGTCTGAATGGTGGAACTGTGATCGTTTTGCATGAACACTGGTATTTATTTGTGTTATGATGAGGTTGTGTGATGCGATGAATGTTTAACCTGTACTTCGTGTTAAATCGTTGCTCTGAACTTGCCCGTTTTTTTTCTTCTTCTCTAGTTTCTGGTCATCTTGTAAATAACATATGGGCCTCCAAAAAGCATCTTTAATTTATTCTAGTACCTGATTAGACTGGAGCGTAATTCTACAAGCGCACACCTTTTAATCCAGATCCCTTTATTTTTAATGTGTGGGTTTTTTTTTTTGTATTTAACATTACAAACTTTTAAGCCACTAGCACAATTTAATTGCGACAGAATTGGTTGAACTGCACTTTTTTTAAACAGAATTGATTCACCTGTAAATCAAACTGATCTGATTTACTTTTTACTGCACTTCAATAGTTTTTTCAGCACATCATATTTTAACAGCAAACACATTATAGTTATAAATAGTCTTTAATTTCATGATCCGAACACTTTCAAATGGCTCTGCTAGGCAGTACATTTCAATGAAGGAAAATCGGTTGCTGTAACCATGTAGACCAGGGGTCACCAATCCTGGTCCTGGAGGGCCGGTGTCCCTGCAGGGTTTAGCTCTAACTTGCCTCTACACACCTGCCTGGGTGTTTCAAGTATACCAAGTAAGAGCTTGATTAGCTTGTTCAGGTGTGTTTGATTAGGGTTGGAGCTAAAATCTGCAGGACACCGGCCCTCCAGGAACCAGTTTGGTGACCACTGATGTAGACTATAAAGCAGGAGTCAAACCCTGTCCTGAATGTTTAGTTCCGACTCCAGTTAAACTCATCTGCTCAGCTAATTAAAAGTCTTATTAGTCGTACTAGAAGCTTCCAGGTTGGCGTGTTTAGTAAAGTTGGAGCTAAACTCTGCAGGACAGTTTGGAAGCCGTTGCTTTAAAGGGATAGTTCACCCAAAAATGGTGTTTTTTAACAAATGTACTCACACTCATGCTATCTAAGATATAGGTGACTTCTTTTTGCTTCAGTTGAGCATTAACCCTTTAAGGTGCATTCCTTGAAAATAATTTTTTTGGCCTACATCTTGTATTGAATAAAATACTGACACGACTCGATTATGAAATATAGTAATAAGCTATTAAAATAATAATGATAATCCTATGGACAAAAGATCAACTAGGTGGCCTTTACTAGGTGCCTGTTAAAGGTTTGTAGCTAAAACTCTGGTGATTTATATAATGCAAGTCAATGCTCAACTGACATTTTTACCTCATTTCAACTGAGCGGTATAGTAGTCACATAAAACCGTACCGCTACTTTGTAGGCATTGTTTACGCACGAAAGTTACAATCCACGCCATTCTCGCTCAAAGTAGAAAGCCATACAGTCCGTTCACATTGTCTATTATTTTTTAGATGCAAAGCAACTACGTGCAAATTGTGAGGAAGCTACACATATTACAATTTATATGCGTTTATAGATGCGATATGATATGATCGATACCATAAACAACAATGGAGGACATGCAGCAGATCCTGTTCCTGATTTCTGCATGCCGTCATTGTTTTATTGGTGTCGTATTTTGGCCGTGTATTTAAAAATGGAGCTTCCTGTGTTGTGCAAATGATGATGATCTGTAAATTAATCCGTCTAAGTCGTGACGTATGGAATACTGTTTCCTGGTCTAGTCGTTTGAATTGAGAAAATATTTGTTTATGACCACTTTTTAGGCACATTAAAGTGAATTTTATATAAAAACATGGTGTACACAACAGTCTCTGCTGCATCACAGACATCAATATTTTAACAATTTATAAAAAATGAATCACTTTCTGGCCATTGGATATTAGGCGTAAATATATATATATATAAATATATTAGGCTTAGGCGGTATCCAAATTTCGCTACCGTCTAACCTCCTCCCTATTTTGCCCCGGTATCCGGTATTATCGTGCATCATAAAAACATTTTTGACACAAGGCTCAGACAGCATCACCAAACTGTTGGCTTGTGTCTAAACCATTTTGAAACTGAATACCGTATATGCGACCTTAGGTTTGCGGTCACCTGTTTGTCTTGTTTGTATTAGAGATCTGCACAGGACGTTCTTTCATACACACGCGAATGTGCGCTCGCTCGGGAGCGATATTATTATTATTATTATATTGCTAGTCCGCGCGCCTGCTCCCTTTCAAATTACACCATAGTTACCGACCGCTTCTGCTTTATTCGGAAATTTATTCTCGCACCGCAAGTAATCTAGTCGACTCCCTCGGTACAGCAGCAGGAATGCAGACCTCTAGTTCGTATTTACCACGTCTCCCTTCTCGTTCGCTCGAAACCGGAAATACTGCCAAAATGCAGGTCACTTGGTGCGTGACTTGCCACCTCACCCTCACTGTCCTGTGATGACAATT